TCCCCGCCGCCCTTTCCCCCGCCACCGCCCTCACCGCCACCACCACCCTCACCGCCCCCACCCTCGCCCCCACCTCCCTCCCCCTCGCCCCCAACCTCACCATGCGATCCGCAAGACACCCGTGACGATTGCGGGATTTGCTCCGGTCCGGCCTCTGGCCACGTCGCTAACTCGGACCGCGACGCCTGCGGTGTGTGCTTTGGCAGCAACGCTGATCTCGATCCATGCGGCGTATGTTTTGGCTCCGGCGCCGACCTCGATGCGTGCGGGATGTGCTTCGGCGACAATTCGACGTGTACCGGATGCGACGGCGTGCCCAACTCGGGCGCCGTGCCGGATGTGTGCGGCGAGTGCGATGGTGATGGCAGCAGTTGCCTCGGCTGCGACGGCGTGCCAATCCCGCTCGGCGGCGCCCATTTCGACGCCTGTGGCGTGTGCGGCGGCTCGGCCGTCGGCTCGTGCATCGCCACCTGCGACAACTCGTCCGCGGTTCCTGTCGTCTTTGACTGCGCTGGCGTGTGCAATGGAAATGCGACCATCGACGAGTGCGGGGTGTGCGTCGGCGGAACCACAGGACGCCCACCACGCATGCACCTGGATGCTTGCGGCGACTGCTTTGCACGCTGCGAAGGCTGCGGCACGCAAACCACCGACGTTTGCGGCGTCTGCAACGGTGACGGCTCGAGTTGCGCCGGATGCGATGGTCTCGGCGGTATTGTCGACGCTTGTGGTGTGTGTGCTGGCAACGGCTCGTCGTGCGTCATCTCGTGCGATGAGACCATCGCCCCTGATGCCGCTGTTGACTGCGCTGGTGTGTGTGGTGGAAGTGCAGTGCTCAACGCATGCGGTATGTGTGTGGGAGGCAGCACCGGTCTTCCGCTCTCTGCCTTCATTGACTCATGTGGCGACTGCTACGGCGGCGACGCCCGCAAGGACAGCTGTGGCGTGTGCGGCGGCGGCAATGTCGATCGTGACGACTGCGCTGTTTGCTTTGGCGGCAACGCTGCCAAAGACGCATGTGGCGTGTGTTTCGGCGGCGGCCGCTTTGCCGATGTCTGTGGCGTGTGCTACGGTAACGCCACAAGCTGTGCCGGCTGCGACGCTGTGCCCAACTCTGGCGTTGTACTTGATGCTTGTGGCGTGTGTGGCGGCGCCGGCCTGTGCGTCACAGCCCGAACCACTACACCGGGCGTCCGAGATCCGGTGGTTGTTGCCATCACTGCCTCGTCGTTCGGCGCTTGCATTGTCCTCGCCACCGTCTTTGGTCTCTGCCTCCGCCTCCGCAAGCGCCGCGCCCATGCCGCCTACCTCGCCCACAAGATGGCGGCCGAGGAGGCTCTGGCCCCAAGTGGCCACCTCGCTGTCTTTATCTCGGACGTCCAGAGCTCCACCTACCTGTGGGAGGCGTATCCGGAAGCCATGGTGACCGCCATCGACGCCCACAACGATGTCTTCCGCCACGTTCTCGGCCGCTTTGGTGGCTACGAGGTCCGCACAGAGGGCGACTCGTTTGTGGTTGTCTTCCAACAACCTCAGGCCGCAGTCGCCGCTGCCGTCACTCTTCAGACCGAGCTGATGGCTGTAGACTGGCCTGCGCCCATTTTGGGCGACAATCGCGTTGTCTCCAACGACGGGCCCGACACAGTCTGGCGCGGCCTCCGCGTCCGGATTGGCATCGCCATGGCCGAACCGACCCGAGTCTTTGTTGAGCGAACCCAGCGGTTCACCTACGAGGGCCCCGACATGCTCGACGCGCAATCGGTGGGCGACGCGGGCTCTGGCGGCCAGGTTGTGGTTGATGCAGCGACCGTGGCCGCTTGTGCTGGCTCGTCGCTCACCTTTACTCGCCTCGGCCGCTACTCCTGTGGCTCCACCCGCGGCCACCTCGCTCTTCGCGAGTATGAGCTTTACGAGGCCGACATCCCGGGCCTCTCGGCCCGTCGGGGTTGCAGCCCGAATCTGCGCGGCATGTCGCGAATTATGCGCGACGTTGGCGCCAAGTCAAGCTCAATGTCAATGTCATCGTCGGCTCTGTCGTCGTCGTCGGCGCCGACCACCGCCCGCGACCGCTCGCACTCAGATCTTGCGCCCGGAGCGGCGTCGGCTGATCCGCTCGCCCGGTTCAATCAGCTCGAGATCGAGATCAGCTCAGACCTGGTCCCGGCCCCGTACTCACAGATATCTCCTACTGCCGCCGGCTCCTCACTCGACCGCCCGTATTCTGGTGCCATGATTGCCCGGCACCGCCGCAAGAGCAAGTACTCCAGCTTGCTCACTCCACGCTCGCCGAACGCGCCGCCGACTCCGCGCGCCAAGTCGGCCGACGATCTGGGTCCGAGTGCCCTCTACCCGTATGCCAGTGGCGAGTCGAGCGAGCTCGCTGTCTCGCAGCTCCTTGTCGATGCCTCGTCCAGCTGCGGCGAAGTTGACACCCTCTCGCGTTCCGACTCGCGCCCCCGCGGACCCGCTCACCAGTCTCTCCGCTGGCCCGCACTGCCCTCAACCGGACCACGCCTAATCTGAATGGCCTCGCTCCAGCGCGATCCGCCCGCCGCATGACCACAGCAAGCTCGCCTCACAGCCCATCTACCCCAAGCCGCCCCCGATCGAACTCGCTCCACCGCCGTCGCCGCCGTCGTCGAGTTGGCCCTGCCTCAGGCCTGCCGACTGCCTCGCAGCGCTCGCCGCTCTCCGGCCACCCCCCGCGCACGCCACGCCGCAACCGCCGCCGCCGCCGCAACCTGGACACGCGCTCGCACAACACCACCACGACAACTACGACGACCACCGACTCGGGATTGGACTCTTCATCGCCATCGCCATCGCCATCGCCATCGCCATCGCCATCGCCTTCACCGTCACCCGTCTCTCTTGATTCGCCGCTGCCCACCTCTCCAATCAGCCCACCGTCATCAAGAGATGCTTCCCAACCCGCGCCGCGCCGCACTCGCACCCGCCGCAACCTTCCTGGCCCCAATCCTGGCCCCCAAGCCCGCACCCACCGATAAACCTTGAGCGTTCCTGTGATCGCAAACCAACCAGCCCGGACCACATGTGTCACAGCCTGCCCGTACCCGACCCCACCCCACTCCGCAACCCCGACCCCACGCCGCCTCGACATGGATTCTCCTGGCAAGACCGTGCTTGTCACCGGCGCCACTGGTCTTCTAGGTCGGGCCGTCGTCGCCGCTCTCGCCTCCTCCCCCCACGCTGTGGCGGCCACCGGCTGGTCGCGCGTGCCCGCGCCGGGCGACTCGCCCTTCCCCTCGGTCACCTGGCACAAGGCCGATCTGACCGATCCGGATGCTCGCACCGCACTTTTGGCCGACGTCGCCCCGCACGCCATCCTGCATCTTGCTGCAGAGCGTCGTCCAGATGCATGCAAGGACCCGGACCGCCTCGCCGCCTTCAATGTCGAGCTCCCGCGGGCTCTGGCCGAGCATGCTGCCGCCTCGGGTGCCTGGCTGCTGTACATCTCCACCGACTACGTCTTTCCGGGCTCGAATCCGCCGTACGCCGAAGATGCTACGCCGGCCCCGCTCAACGACTACGGCGTTTCCAAGGCAGCCGGTGAGGATGCGGTCCGCCTCGCCGCTCCCGAGTGCGCCACCATTCTCCGCGTCCCCATCCTCTACGGCTCGATCGAGTCGCTCGGAGAGTCGGCTCTCACCGCCATCGCTGAGCCGCTCCGCGACCTTGAGCATGACACCAGACCGCTGCTCATCGACAATTGGGCCGCCCGCTTCCCCACCCATGTCGACGACGTCGCTCGCGTCATCGCCGCCCTCCTCGCTCTGCCCGTCGCCGACCTCGCTGGCACCCTCCACTTTTCCGGCTCCGAGCAGACGACCAAGTACAAGGTCGCACTCCTCATGCTGGACATCTTGGGCCTCGCCGAGAGCCACATCGCGCTCATCGCTCCCAACCCGAACCCGCCTCCTGGCGCTCCTCGGCCGCAGAACGCACAGCTCTCCTGCGCCCGCCTTCTCGCGCTACTCAACGCCGCCGACCTAGCTGACCTTTCCACCCCGCTCATTGATGGCCTCACAGCCGCGCTACAGCCCTTTGCATCCGATTTCCGCCGCCCCGCCACCACCGCCACCGCCGATCTGTCCTGATGTTGGCTGGCAGCCGAGGACCGGCCAGCGGCCGCCAAACCACCAAACCGCCGCCACCTGACAACCCACCCCCACGCGGGCCATGGCCACCCCCGCCCCCGCCCACAGCCCCACCCTCAAGGACGCCACCCCCGCCCAACTGCGCGCCATGCTCCACCAGCTCACCACAGACGCCGCCGCTCGTGCCCGCCTCACCGCACAGCTCGAGCGCAAGCTGGCCAAGAAGACCGACTCTAACCGCCGCCTTAAAGGTACGTCCCTCCCCCTGCCCCCCCCTGCGCCCCCCCCCCCCCCCACCCCACCCACCCACCCACCCTCACTCACTCACTCCCGCTACAGCTGCTGCCGAGGAACTGCTTGCCAAGAAGGACCGCTATCTGGAGCTGGCCCATGGGGCAGAGGCCAAGTTTCTCAAGCTTCGCAAACGGTACTATCTGGCAAAGTCGGCGCTCGAGTCAGCTATCGCATCATCGCAGGCGGCCAAGGCAGAGCTGGCTACTGCAACTGCTACTATTGCCTCGCTCAAGACACAGAACGCCGCCCTCAAGCGCTCGCTCAACGACGCTCTGGCCAAGGTGGCCGATGCTACATCGCGTGCCCGCGCCGATCCATCGCAGACAGAAGCCACCATGGCCAAGGCTCTCGATGACTACGAGTCGCTTGTCATGTGGCTGCTCAAGGAGCGGAGCCGGCTGTACAAGGCTCTCCCTGATGGTCCAGACACCCTACCACCGTTGCCGGTCAAGCTTGAGGACATCACCACTCTTAACCGCGAACTGACCGGATCGTCCAAGCTTCCTACCTCGGACGACTTGTTGCCTGGCGCCAAGTCAATGCGCGAGCTTGCTGCCCTGCGCCGTGCCTCCACCGCCACCGACGATCACCCGCTCATCGAGCCACCCGTCGCCCTCGACTACGTCAACGACGACTGCGCCCTCTACCTCGTCCCGTCCAAGCCAAGTGCCGCGCCCATCGTCCGTGTCCTCGCACACGCCTCGTCTCTCAACACCACCGACGTCTTTGTTCTTGTCGACTCTGACGGCTCCGTCTTCCAGTACAACGGCCCTGCTTCGTCCATCAAGGCACGTGGCCGCGCCCTCGACTTTACCCGCTCCCTGCGCGTCGACGTCACTCTGGTCCCAGTCTCGGACCCAAGTACGCCCGACTACATCACCTTTATGCGGACACTGCTGCCCGACGCCAAGCGCGCATACACTTCCCGTTCGCCGCCACCGTCGATCCCGAGCCGCGCTCCGGCTTTTGTAGACTGGAAGTCCTTTGTCTACACCCCCGTTGCCTGCTGCGTTGTTGTCTCGTCGTCGTCCGAGCTCGAGCTCACTGCCATCGAGCTCCCGCTCACCCGGGCTCTCCTCACCCCGTCGGCCGTCATCCTCATTGACACCGGCTCCACCGGCCTTGTCTTTGTTTGGATCGGCTCCGACGTCGCCCCGCTCCTCCGCAAGACAGCGATCTCTTGCGCAGAGCATCTGCTCCGCGAGGGGAATCCGTCCGCGTCGTCCACCGTCGACCGCCCCTCCTGGGCCGCCGTTGTCAAGATCACGCCTGGCACCGAGCCGTACCTCTTCACCCAGCACTTTGCCGACTGGGAGACTGGGAGCCTCTCGACCCTCCGCCCGCGTGATCCTGACGCCGCCAAGATCGCCCGTGGCGAAAAGGCGTCAGACTGTGTCGCCTCGGTAACCCCGCGCTCCATCAACGTTGCTGCCGACATGTACAACGCCCGCCCCGCCGCTGCTGATGCCCTCGGACCATCCGCGGCCACAACCAAGGCCCAGGCTGTCGCCGCACTTAACCTTGATCCGGACCAGGTCCCAGGCATGCTTTCGGTCATGATCATGGAGGACGACGCCTACCCGTTTGCTCTCCCCGAGCCGGCCGCTTCGGACGGCCACTTTTTCGACGCTGACGCCGTCATCGTCATTTACTACTACGAGTCGCTGCCCAAAGGCCTTGTTGACGTCGCTCCGGCAGCCAGCCTCTCGGTCGGCAAGGGCTGTGTGGTCTTCTTTTGGATGGGCATGTATGCCCCACGCAAGCTCTGGCTTTCCTTCAAGCACTCGCCCGTCTGGGCCACCCTCTCCGACTCGGGCCTCAATCCGGTACTCCTGCAGGTTGACCAGGGCGCCGAGCCGCCGGCGCTCCGGTCGCTCTTCCGCGGCTTTATCACTGTCCACCACGGCCACGCATCGGCCGCCCTTCCCTTTGCACATCGCGCCCCGCTTCTTGAAGAGCGGCCCGACCTCCGCTTTGCCACCCCTGCCATGGACCCGTCTGCCCGACTCTTCCGCCTCTCCGGCTTTAACGAGTACAACGTCGCCGTCCACCAGGTCGCCGCCTCGGCAGCTTCGCTCACCTCAGCAGACACTTTTCTCCTCTACGATCCGTGCATGCAGTCCGAGTCGTCTATCGAGGGCGTGCCTCCTACTCCGGGCCCGGGAACAGGTGGCGCCTTTCTCTGGTCCGGCCGTGGCGCAACAGACGCCGAGCACGCCGTCGCCGTCTCGCTTCTCGACCGCCTCTCCGACCTCTTCAATCCTACACCCGATGCAGCCTCCCGCCAACCGTGGTTCGAGCTCATCGAGGGTTCAGAGGATCCCGACGGCCTCTCGCTCTTTTGCTCCTACCTCTCGCCCCGACTCGATCCCGGTGACCTAGACTATGCCCGCGACGTGGCGTCGTCGACGGACAAGCGCCACCTCCGGCTCTTCGCCTTTTCGCTCGGCAAGGGCTACCTCACCGTCGCGCCCTCAGACATGGTCTACCCATCGGCCCTCGACGCCCCCGCGACATGTACCTCCTCGACGCCGTTGCCGCCGTCTACCTCTGCGTTGGCCGCGAGGCGCCACCGGCCATGCTCGACCAAGTCATCAACACCATCGACGCCTACCTCGATGCCTCTCCCTACGACCGGCCGTCGAGCCTTGAGCGGACCATCCTCTTTGCTACTCCGCTTCCCCCACCTGCGTTCGAGTCCCCGCTTGCAGGCATCTCGCCTCAATGGCGTGTCGCTGCCCTCGACGATGAAACTTTGTTCCACGTCCGGTTCCCGGTCTGGTGGGGCCTCAAGCTGCCGGCCAACGCGCTGGCCTCCTCGTCAATGCTCTCGCGCTCTGGCTCGTTCATCGACCCGCGCCTCCTCCGCGAGCAGCGGCTGAAAAAAGAGGCTGCCGCCAAACGCCGCGCCATCCGCGACGCCACCCGCGCAGGCCGCTGCACCTACTCGGCCACCGGGCCAAGCCCGGACGTCATCACCGATACCTATCCATGTCTCGACTGCGGCGTAGCCGTTTGCTTTACCTGCCGCAAGGAGTGCCACTCCAGCCACAAGCTGGGCTCGCGCCAGCGCGCCATGGTCGCCTGTGCATGCAAAAGTCACGACGACATCCGCAGCTAGTAGCGGGAGCATCAGATGCCAAAGAACAGCTGTCGGAGCGAGATTGAAATCACCGCCAGTCCAAACGAGAGAATGGCACGAAACGCAGCAGGTCCATGCGAGAGTCCTAGAATGGTGAGCGAGTTGAGGGTCGCGTCGAGATGCAGGCCCGAGATCGAGTACTCCAGCCGTGCCCCCAGCCCGCGGATGCCGTGCATTGGATCGAGTGCCAGCCCGTGCAGCGCGTATTGGTCCGTGCGGAACGTCTGGTTTGTGGAGTACCCCGCAATCGACGAGAGAATAAGCGCAGTCGTCGCCACGGAGCCCATGACCAGCGAAAAGGCAAAGAAAATCGCCACAGACGTCGACTGTTCGTTGCGGAGCGAGAGCACCACAATGGGGACAATAAGCGAGCCGATAAGCAGGAGCATCGCTGCAAAGAACACGTCCAGCCGCTTCCGAAACTGTAGCCCAATGTCCAAAATGACTCGTCGCGAGAGGAGCCACACCTCTGGATGGCGCGAGAAGAACGGCGCGAGGAGCGACCGCCGGTCGAAGAGAAACCCTCCCCACGTCCGCAGCCACCGCGTCCGCCGAAACGAGTCAGCCCACGACGCAAAAACCACCAGCGACGTAAAATTGAACGTGATGCCGAGCTGGATGAGAACAACGAGGCTGAGCGCAACCTGCGTCGGCCAGGTATCGCCGAACGCCGCCTGGCCAAACGCCAACCGGGCCGCAGGCAGCGTGCCGGCAACCACAAGCGACGATACCAGCCGGATGACCAGCATGGCAAACGGGAGTCGATTCGACTTCTCCACAAGCAGCGTCTCAGCCAACACAAGATGCAGTGGGACTAGAACGGTGCCGTGATGTCCCGTCTCCTCTGCGTTGTCGTCGGCCCACCGAATCTGCTCGCCCACTTCGGGCAGCGCCTCGCACGCCAACGGAAGCTCCTCCCGTATGGCGCTCGGCGACGTGTACGCCACGCGCACCAAGTAGCCCTGTAGATTGAGGTCGTGCCGGATGGCTGCCTCGGAGAGCTCTGTGAGGGTGACCGCTTTGCCGAGCACGATCCAGCCCGAGATAATCTCCTCCAGCCGGAGCTGTCGCCTCGGCACGACTCCAGCCTTGACGGCCCGGACCAACGACGGCTTGCGCCATCCGTGCTTGACTGCCACAAGCGCCGATCGAAACATGTGAGTAGCGAGCCCGACAAAGACCTCGACCACAACTGACGAGCTCATGAAATCGTCAAAGTAGAGCACGACCAGGATCACCACCGCCCATGCCGCGCACGAGACAAACCACTGCCCGAGGCAGATGATGCTCAGCGAGGAAAACGTCCTGTTCTTCACCGCGATCCATCCGCCGCTGGCGAGCATGATCGGGAGGGAGAACGGAAAAAGAGGTGGAGCACAAACTCCCACGCAAACCGCGAGTAAACAAAGTGCTGTGCCGCCGCCGCATCCGCCGCCATCAACGGATCGAGCCCGGTCTCTTTCCACACCGAGCTCAGCCAGCGCTGCAATTGCGGGGATGATGCCGTAGGCGTGATTTGATGACTCTTCTGCGCATACTCGTCATTGCTCTCCGACATCATCATGTGCAGCTTGGTCAGCGAGAGCACTGATGTCTGCGATCGCAGCCCGAGATCCGGCCGCGACTCTGTCCTGCCCGGTTGTCCGGCCTCTGCCTCGAGGTCCATACCGAGCTCTTCAAAGCTCAGTGAGCCCTCCGTCACTCCAGCCGATGCAAGCTGGGCCAGCGAGATGCCCGCCGGTACATAGGCCTCCTCGTCGCCGCTTTCGACCGTACTGCTCCCTGTCCGCACCTCTGCTTCGGTCTTCCCTGCTCCTGACACCACCGACACGCCCGGCATCGACCGCCTGCCCGACCCACGCCGCATGCCGCTTGGCCGAACGCGAGACCGCGACATATGAGGGTGGTCGGTGGGGTGTTTGGGCGTATAACACCCAGGGGAGGGGGGGGGGGGTAGGAGGGTGCACGCTCACAAACTGCGGTACCGCCAAAACGTTTGTACGCTATGCTATGCGCATGCTCGCTTTTTTTTCTCGCACGTTCGTCAAGTCCGCGGCGGAGCTGCCTCTTTGACCACACACCCGTGGTCGGGAGTGATGATGAGGATGGCAAAGCGGGCGACCGAGCTGATGTCACCGCCGCTCACAGTGGCATAGTCAAATTTGCCGCGGAAGTCGGTGTATCCGTCGCGCCAGAACGTGTCGCGCCCCGAATGGAGACGGGCGTAGACCTTGACGTACGCGTTCTTGATCGGGCCGCTGCCTGCGTTGGCTGGGAGCGCCACCCGGAGCTGACCGTAGTTCTCGATGAGGTGCGCGGCAAACGACTGCGCAAAGTACGATGCCGACCGCACAACCGAGCCGGCGACGACCTCGATGAGCACGTTGGCCTTGGCAAACGAACTCGCAATGTCAAACCGGAGCGTGCCGTTGCGGACCTCGGTCGTGGCGTGTTCCTCCACCTCGTTGGGCTTGAGCACGTTCTTCGACGACGCTGCCACAAACGGCGACGACGAGAACAGCAGTTCGATGTCCATGAGGTAGTAGTTGACCGTCACCCGGGCCACGTTCTGGTACGAGACCACGCCAGTCGTGCCCTCGATGGTAAAGTCGAACGCCGGCTCGGTCGCCGCCAGCGCCGCCATCTGCTCTTCGCGAGACGCGGCGGCCTCGCTGCCCGCCAGCGACAGGGTCGACAGCGCCGCGCTCGCCGAACTCGGATCGTCGAGCTCCGACAGCTGCCGCAGCACGTCCATAAACATCTCGCGCCACCGCTTGACAGGATACGCCACATATTTGGCGGCAATCGCCCTCGCCGTCGCATACCCAGTCTCCGCCCCAAAGAAAATGTCCAGATACGCCGCAAAGTAGTCGACTTGGAGCTCGTTTGCCAGCCCGCCCTCGCTCACGTCTGCCGTCCGGTCAATCCGCGCAAAGAACGCCGCAGCCTCGTCGACTCGGTCGAGCAGAAGGAGATAGTACGTGAGCGCGAGCAGGTCGTCGGTCCGGAACGTCGACGAGTACTTGAGCGAGCCCAACAGCGCCTCGTACTGATGTTTGACCATCGCTGGCGCCGTCGACTGCGACACCCCAGGCAGCGGGTGAGCCCGCGGGTTGACCACCGGCTCGTACTCGAGGTGCTGGTATCGGACCTCGCTCTCGACGTCGAGCGGGAGGATGGAGAGAACACAGCTTGCTCCGAGCCGGTCGATGAACCCGTCGTTGTGGTAAAGCCACTCGGCCACCGCTCGCCGGTCGTGGTGCTTGAGCCCGTACTGCCACACCCGGTGGACGTACGCCTTGTGTGCTCGCAGCAGCTTCATGATCTTGAGCCACCACTCCTTGTGCCCCAGTCGGTCCTCAATGTCCAGAATCTGGAACCGCAGCGGGTTGTGGCTGTCCAAGAACGCCACCACCTCGTCGATAGTCCCGTGCGCCGCCACGTAGCTCCACGAGAGCGTGTCGTGGACCGAGGCCACATCTACCACGTTGAGAGTCACCCGCGCTGCACTCGCCACCGTCACCTCGTTCTGTGCCACGTGGATCGGAAAATGGGCCGCCGCACCCGCTGCCGGAAAGTAGAACTGGAACTCGTCAGTCACCGTCGCGTACGGGTTGAGCTCGATGTAGTGCGAGCGGGTGAAGAATCCGCCACAGAGCGGGACCGCTCCCGCCGGAATCTGCTCCAGGATGTCGACCTTTTGCCGCGCGGTCGAGATGTTGGTCACCGCCACCTGGCAACCGTACACCTTGTTGATGACAAACTCGTCGCTCACAAACTTGTCAACACGCTCGTTGTCAACCTCAGCGTAGCGGTCGTTCGGGTCAAAGAAGTTCTGACACACCAGGATCGGCGCCTCACCCTCGTCCGTCTCGCACACTTGCTTGTGGACCATTATCACCGGCGACGCCGCCATCAGCCGGCTCCGCGACGCACCCTCCAGTTCAACCGTGTGTTCGTTGCTCTCGAACGGCAGGTCCAGCACCGCAAGCGCAAGCAGCGCCTCAGTCGGGCTCGACGCCGCGTGTACAAAGTGTTCCGAGAGGAACGCCGGCGTGTACGGCGCCGGCTCTCCGGCGGCTCCGCTCTGCCTGGCCTCCAACTGCTCCATCACATGCGCTCCGTACGCACCCCAGAACTTGGAAATCTGCACCAGCCGCTCGTCGATGAGCTCAATCGGCACCCGGTGGTAGTTATTCTCGCCATACTCTTTGGTACCCGGCAGTGGTGCGTAGTATCGCCGTGTCGGCGCGTCGTCGTAGCCGCCCCGAGGCATGCCACCACCGCCGCTGCCGCCACCGCCACCACCCAGAGTCGGCACATCACCGGCCGCATTGGGCAGGTCTCCTGCAGACTCAAGCTTGGCCTTGAGCGCCACCTTGTGGAGAGCGTAGAACGTCGCCCGGTCGGCTGGGAGCAAGTCGGCCTGGTCGAGTACATGGCGGAGGATTGCGGCGTCGCCGCTAGCGCCACCGAGCAGGATCTTCTCCACAATGTTGAGCCGCTCAAACTTGCGCGCCACCGTCCACTTGCTCAGGTCGGCGCCGAGCAGATAGTCGTCGACAAAGGTCTTGACCTTTTTGTTGGCCAGAAACGGCGCGACGACATCAGCAAAGAATGTGCGGTCCTTGAACGCCACAAACACGTTGAGCTCATGCGATGCAAACTCGGCGTACTTGGCGAGCTTGGCCTCGCGGTCCATGCTGCCCCACGTAGTGACAAAGCGGAAGGCCTCGAAATCGGCCGAGCCGCCAAGGAGGGTCGAAAAGAGCGAAAAGACCTTGCCCACCGTGTCGTACGCCATTGACTCGGTTGTCCTCTTGTCGGCGACGTCAAACAACCCGCCCGTCGGCATGACGTCGATGGCCCGGACCTCGGCAAAGTGCCGCTCGGCATCGAGCGGCTTGAGCAGCCGCATGTCGTTGTACGTCACGCTAGACTCGGGCAGTGCAAACTGTCGCGCCGCATGCGCGTCGCCGTCGACCACCACCACGCTCACCACCGTGTTGCCGGGAGAGATCTGATCCAGCGGGACCACAACCCGTCCGTCCGTGTCCGGCCGCAGATTGAACATGCAGTCCGAGCCGTGGAGAAGGAACTCGATGTTGTGACGGTACGGGTCCGACAGGATAGAGCCGGTCTCGTCCGCCGAGAGCTCGCGCCGCCGCAGCGAGCGTGCCTCGGCAACGCTGCCCGCTACAGGGCCTCGACCTTCGCGCTTTTTCTTCTTCCGGCACTTGGACATGCTTCTTGCCATTGACGGCGCCATCATGCTGCACTCCATTTCATCTTCGTCCTCGCACATCATCATGCCCATCTGGTCCCGAAGTGAGCCAGACGACGGCGTGAACCGCCGCACGTCGTCGACGTTGCCAGGACGGTCGTTGAGCGCGAGCAAAAGTGACGGCCGCTTGAGCATATTGCCAGGGTGCTTGGCCGCAAACTGTCGATTGAGGATGTACTGCGCCTCGGCCGAGAGCGCTCGCGCAGCGTGGTACGCCGACGACACCCGCGAGAGAGGACGCGGCGTGTCACTCATCTGCCGGAAGAACGCACTCGGGCCGAGCAGTTCTGCTGGGTTGTAGTTGGGCACAAAGTGCGAGCAAACAACGTGGACACGGGTTGCGCCTGATGCGTGCGCGAGCTGCACCGTCAGCTCGTCGCTGCTCGCCGTCACGTCTGTCACCGCCATCGGCTCTGAACTCGCCACCTGCTCCAGAATCCGCCCAGGCGAGACGAAGATGCGGTGGCGGACCGGATCGGTGTGCGAAAAGGTCACGACTGTGCTCGCCGCCGCAACCCGCAACGTCAGCTGGTCAAAGCCGCCAGCCGCGTTGGGTACAAACAGCACGTAGTCGCCAGCAGTCAGGCCGGAAACGCGCACGAGTCCGGGGCTGACTGCCACCGCTGTGCTTACATCGTCTACCACTGCGCCCACCGCGTTGCGCGAGGTACACGAGACCGCATAATCATCGTCGGCGCGTGGGACTTGGCCGTGATACGGGAACCGCAGCTCCTCGCCCTCGATCCCGTGCAGAAGCCGCGGCATCGAGCCACTCGCTCGCTGCAGCGTCCAAGAGCAGTTGCGCGCTCGAATCGCCGACACGTTGGGCAGGTGCCCGAGGTGGACAGCGCCGCTGGCATCGGTAAACCGTGTCAAGCAGCTCGTCGATCGGCTGACGTCGATGTGGGCGAGGTTGATGCTAAGCGGCGCGTTGGCCACACGGCGGCCGGACTTGTCCACCACGACAAGCGAGTACCCGCTGCTTGTCCGCCGGAGAAAGACGTCATCCATGGCGGCAGTGAGATCAATCTTGTTGAGCTGGAAGCTCTGCGAAGCCCGCAGCTGGACATCCGATTCGGTAGCCCGCGACCGGACCGAGCCAGTCAGCTCAAGCGCCACCGCTACGGTCTTGTCCGGCACCACAAAACCGTACGTCGACTCGACGAGGTCTGAGAGCTCAAAGTCGTCGATGGTTGAGGTCGACACCACGCCGTCGATGTCGGTCGTGGTGATCGTAAGCACGAGATGGGAGAGCCGCGCCAGCGGGAGCTCCATTCCGTTGAGGCTTAGCTGGGCACGGACGAGCGCGACGGCGGTGTGCTTCGAGAGCAGCTGCTCGCGGTCGAGATAGAAGGCAGCGGCAAACGAGTAGTTTTCGCCCGCGTGATCAAACGTGTACAAGTCGGCAAAGCCGTCCGAGGTCAGCACAACTGTTCGCCGACCTGGAGAGCTGGTATACGGGACAAGGATCTCACCATGGGCGTTGGCGACGTACTGATGTCCGTCGAGCGTGAGCTGCGCATCGGGGCAGAGCGCCGAGGTCTCGTCATACACCCGCAGCACATGGCCAGTCGGCGCAGGGTGCGAGAGCGCGTACAGGTGGCCGACTCGGATGACAGCGCGGAGCGAGCGCCCGCCGCCGATAAGCTCAACCACAAACACGCCGCGCGCCATACCGATGCACGGCAGCGGAAGCGTGTGTTGCGCACGGACCATTGGCGGTGCGTCGTACTTGTGTTCGTACTCGTTGTTCGGCACAAGGCCCTCAACCGAGAGATGCTCGGAGACCTGCGAGAGCGAGTCGCGATAGACTGCCGCGGTGTTGACCTCGTAGACCCGGACAAGGAGCTTGGGCACGTTCTTCACCACCACATCGAGGGTCACGTGGTCGTTGGGCGCAAAATACGCTGCGTTGGACGGCCCAAACTCGAGATCCACTCGGTCCCGGAGCGAACGAATGGTGCTCGCTGAGAGAACCGAGTTTGTGGGGTCAGCGCTCCCGCTCGCAAACAGCTGCTCCTCAGCCAGCCAGCGCTCGAGCGTCGTTGACCGCACGTATTTGGCATACGGCTGGATGCGGCGTGTCTCGCTGAGCGCGCCACGAAGGAGTCGCTCGATGAGCGAAGTCACATCCGTCGATGACGGTGCCGGCACCGACGGCACCGACGACGACGACGACGAGACGTAGCCGGCCCGCGCGCCGTCGGACCTGAACGGACGCACCCAGTCCGGGTCCGCAAACGATACCGACGACGGAATCGCCAGCAGCTCGAGAAGGCAATCCTCCAGCTCGCTCATCCCATGCCCAGCCGCCAGCCCAATCACCAGGCTGTGGTATAGGAGCGTGTGCCGGTACGGGTTGAACACCGGTGCGAGGGTCCTCACAAACTCGAGACACTTGGAAATGTACTCGGTGCATGCGTGCGAGCCAATGCTGAGTTCATACTGCATGTCGACGTCTGCGCCTGGATGGAGCTTGGCCAAGTACCCGTCGACAAAGGTGGCATCGTCACGGAGTGCCGGCTTGGCCTCCAGCAGCTCGTCGAGCTGCGCCAGCGTAAACTTGGCCGTCAGCTGCCGATAAGCCGAGTAGATGCCTCCGTACTTGTCCGACGCCATGTGGTGAAGGAGCGCAGGGAGCGTGCCTGGAAGTCGTGCATGCGGCAGCGCGTCGAGCACCTCCTTCAGGTGGCGGTACTCGTCCTTGGTTGCTGCAGACGCCAGCTTGTTCAGGAGCCATGGGTAAGCCGCTGGCCGGAAGCCCGAGACCCCCGAGCTCCGGTATGCGTCAGCGTAGAGCGCATTGCGATCAACAGGCGGCACCGCCGAGTCAGACTCGTGCCGCGTCTGCGATGAAGGGGCTGGGCCCGGCTCTGCCGTCGACGCCGCCGACTTGGCCGGCTCCAGCCGCGGCGTCTGGAAGCTGAGGTCGTACTCAGAGATGAGAAACTCCAGAAAGGGGTCCTCCTCGACCTCGGATGTAGCCGCATCGTACGCGAGGAGCTTAAATCGGGTGTTGAGTTCGCGCCACTCGCGCGTCGAGTCGAATGACGACTTGGACGAAGCCAGATGCGCGGCAAGCTCGTTGAGCGGCGTGTCGCCTGCCGCCACTCCGTCCGCCAGCAGCAGCCCGGTGTAGTAAAACGCATCGCGTTGGCCAGGCACAAGCTTGGCCACCAGGCCTGGGCGGTCTCCAGTGAGCGCAAACGCCTCCTCGAGCGAGTACTTGGTCAAATCGTGGTACGGATCCGGACTTGCCATGCTACCCACCGCGAGAAGAATGCATGGAACACAGCGAGGCAACCGCCCACCGTCATGTGAGTGCGGGGAAGGATGGCAGGAGAAAGGTTGTAGCTGGTGTTCCGAGACAAGGGCACATACGTATCACAACAAGGAAGGGAACGGAAGTAAAGTGCGAGTCGCGGTGTATGTTTGGATGTGGGTGTGGCGCGAGGACACCGGGGGATGGGGGAAGGGGGGGGGTGGGGGGGGGGGGGGGGGGGCGATCACATGTGGCGTGACATGCTCTTTTTTTTCGGCCCGTGTGCTGAGGCCGGGGGGGAGGGGAGGGGGGAGCAAACGGCTGAAAGCCCCGCTCACATCGAAGCGGGCGCCTACTCTGTGCATCATCAGCACATACCTCTCTCGCACGTACTCATCCTCTGGTTCCATCTCACCTGGAACAACTTTGACCTTTTCTTTTGTTCTGTGTCTCCTAGCATGCCTGCCCGTCTTGGCACACGTGCAATGGCCGTCGCCCTGGCGTGCCTGTGGCTCCTCGCCTGCCAGGTGGAGCCGTCTTGCACGCCGGATGCTGACCCTGTGGCCACGGTTCTGGCGGCCCAGCCATCCAGAAGTGTCTTGGTTGCGTCGAATACAACAGTCGTGACGTATGCAGAAGACGAAAACATGCTCATAGCCTACCGTGTCCCGTTCAAGGCTGGCACAGGCGTCATTGTCGACGACAACCTCTCGCTCTCGGACAGCGAGCCTGGCCAGGTGGTCTTTGGCGACGTCAACGAGGACGGCCGCAACGACATTGTCGCGGTCGACGACGCGGGGCGTATCTTGATATATCTTCGCCTCGAAGGTGCCGGCTATCGCCCGCCGCGGGTGGCAAGTATTGGGTCATACAACACGGCGTCGCGGATCGGCTTCGCGCTCCGCAACGGTGCCCCTGTAATTGTCTTTGTCGACAGCAACAACAACAATCGGGTCTCGCTCATGCAGTCCTTGTTTGAGTCTACAACCATACAATCGGTGATGATGCCGACAGGCTCGGTGAAGGCCCTGGACTGGGGCCTGGTCACAGGCGACTCGCTCCTCGACTTTGTCGTTGTCGACAATGACGGCATCAAGTTTGTTCCCAGCACTTCTGTCTACACGTTCAGTCCGCCAGTCCTGGCCCTGGCTACCACTGATGTTGTTGATGTTGTGTTTGCTGATGTCGACGATGATGCTGACTTGGACATCATTGCCGCTGGCAAGTCAAGCAAGAAAGTGATCTGGTTTCCCAACTCGGGCTCCGAGCCCGCGTTCTCCGAGCCTAGCTTGTCTTTCGACTTGGCCAACCTTGCCAGTACTCCGGTGCGTCTTCTGGTTGCTGATCTTGACAGCTTGGGCGTGTTAGACCTGGTTGTGATCTCGGATTCGAGCCCTGCAGTCGCGTTATTCAACATGAGTGCCGTAGCTCGTCCACTAGCCGATGCCAGTGTCTCGGCTGCTGCCTTTGTTGACGTCGACGGCGACACTCATGCAGACATGGTTTTCGTGGAGGTGGAGGGCAGCGGGTCCAGCCTCTTCTTTGCTGCCAACCGTCACGGCAACGGGTCGCTCGAAGAACCGAAGCTGGTGGACGCTGTTTCACCGGCTGCCTCCGCTCTGGTTGCAGTCACTCGGGTGGATATCGATGGCAATGGCGTGTCGGATACTGTCCTTGCGTCTTCCGACACAATTGTGTGGCTCCCTGCCGACGGCGTTCTCGAGAAGGTACTTGTTGTCGCAGATCTTACGTACACGCCCACGTTTCTCCTCGGCGCTGACTTGGATGGCGATAGCGACGCAGACCTAGCTGTTGTAGTCAGAAGCGGTAGCAGGGTGGTGATTCTCGCCAACGACGACGGCGTTGGCAGAGTCTGGTCCGAGTCGTCATGGTCAATCACCTCGGGCTCGTTTTACCAGCCGGAGCTAGCGGCTACGGGTGACATCGACGGCGACGGCTTGCTGGACCTAGTCATCTCCGGCAATAATGGCGTTGTGTGGTACAACTCGACCGGGCATGGCGGCGTCGTTACTAATCCCCCAACTCTGGCGAACACACCGGGCTGGCAGTTGCTGATTTCGACGGCGATGGCGACCCCGACGTTGTGGCCACAGGTCGCATGCTACCGCCCACTCTGTTTATTAACGACGGTGCCGGTGGCTTTGGAAGCTCGTCGCCTGTGGGCGAGTACGCTGCGGTTGAGAACGCGCGCCTTGCGGTCATCGACGCAGACCATGACGAGTTTCCGGACCTGGTTGTGGTCCAGTACGAGGGCGCGCTCGTCGACGTAGTTGTCAACAGCAACGGCATCTTAGGCAACACCGTCGTCCACTTGTATGACACCACTGCCCGCAACGATGGCGACACGGTAGAGGTGGTCGTAACCGATGTCAACGGCGACTTGTGGGAAGACTTGATCATTGAGCAGCAAACTCCGCACAAGCTGCGCTTGGTACTCTCAGGCGCGATCGCCGCAAGTTACAATCCTCCCGTCGACGTCATGGACATCACGAGTTTGACTCGCGGTCTGTCTCCAGGCCTTTCTAGCACCGGCGAGTGGCACCTAGTCCTCGCCTCGAGCAGTGTCGTCCGCAAGCTTTCAGGGAACATGCTGCCGGCCCAGCCTGCTACCAGTGGCAATGTTGTGACTGCATTGGCCGCGCCCAACATTGTTGTGGCTTTTGCAGCTGGTGATGTCAACAACGACGGGGTGGTGGATGTTGTCATCCTAGACCACCTCGAAGGCCTTGGCTGGTTTGCCGGTGTAAGCGATGGCACCGGTGCCTTTGGTCCGTTGCAGATCATCCGAGGCGGTGCCGCCACTTCCGGCACTCGAATTGTTGCGCTCGGAGACTTTGATGCGGATGGCGACTTGGACTTGTATGTGTCCGGCGGGCCGAGACCTGGTCTCTTTCTCAACACTGATGGACGCGGTACTTTCAGCGCTAGCTCGGAGCTTACTTTGACTAGCTTGCGCGACGCCCAGATTGCCGATGTCAACAACGATGGGTTCGCAGACCTGGCCACCATCCGCACGACGTCACCCGATGTTACCGCGTATGTCAACAATGGCGATGGTACGTTCGGCGGTCACACCCTGTTGGCTACGCTCTCGAGCAAGCCGCAGGCGCGGAACAACATGCTGTTTGGTGATGTTGATGGCGATGGCGATTTGGACTTGGTCGTTCAAGTCGAGGATGCGCTGGAGTGGTTCGAAAACACCGGCAGCCTCCCGCTGGCCGGACGCGGTGTTGTTGCGGCGGACATGGGCCCCGACTTTGACAGCCGTGAGTTTACGCTCGCGGACATCAACGGTGACGGCAGACTCGACATTGTCTGCTTCAACTACACGACTCTGGCGGTGTTCTTTTTCGAGAACTCGCTTTTGCATCTCGCGGCCAAGCCATCTCGTCAACGATATCCTCCTTCTCATCGTCAGCTGATGTGGCCGCCGATGACATCGACGGCGATGGCGATGGCGACATTGTCATTTCGGAAGCAACCCGGATAGAGATGCTTCGCAACGACGGCGACTCTGGCTTTGCCTCGCTGCCGTTTACGGCCGCGCAGGAGTTACAGGGATTCAAGAGAATCATGCTCTTAGACATTGATGGTGACGGTGACAAGGACGTTCTGGCATCGCGCAACAATGGGCCTGTGTCGCTGTCGTGGTTTGCCGTGGCCAGCCAGACCGCGTTCACGCCTTCACCACCTGTGGTGTGGTCTGATGCGGTTGGGGCGTGCCGTGGCAGCCTGTCATCATTTGCCTGTGTGTGGGAGAACGTGCGGGCGATAGCATCGCGGTGCAAGGCGGGTGTGGCACGGCCGCCAATACCACGGACCTTTGGCTGCATGGTCGACGCGCACGCGGTGGTTACTTCCAAGATCGACCTTGTCGACGTCTCCTTCAACTGCAGCGTGCCGCGTGGCGTCGCTGCAGAAACCGTCGGGGGGTCCTCTTTGATGTGCGGGGAGATGGCGAGCTGGCTCTCATCAACGGCTCTGTGTCAGACATGGGCGTGGCCCGAGTCTCTGCCTCGGGCTCACCAGGTCTGCGAGTAGTCGGCGGCAAAGCATTGCTTTCCCGGTTTGATGTCTTGGGCGCGGCGTCGACGCCCGAGGTCAACGCTCTTCGCACCGACGTTGGCGTCGGAGGTGCGGCATTTGTGGGGTCAGGCGGAAGACTGATGGTTACGCATTCGACGTTGAGCCAATGTACGGCGTCGCAGGCCGGTGGTGCTATTGCAGTGCTTGGCAGTGGGTCAGCGTGCGAGCTGCGCTCAGCGACGATCACAGGCTCATCGGCACCGCAGGGTGGTGCCGTCTCAGTTGCCTCGAACGGCGCGCTCATCGCGAGTGGGGGTGAGATCAGCCACAACTTGGCGACGCTTGGAGGCGGCCTGTTCATGCGGCCAGAGGCCAGCGTGGTCATGAGCGATGTGGCGGTTCTGGGCAATGTGGCGGCTGGCGGCGGCGGCGGGCTCGCGCTCCTACCGTTCACCATCGACGGACTTGCGGCAAGCGTTGACGCCGGCTTGCTGCCGATGGCGCCGGCCGGATCGTCGACGACTGCGGTGCTGACGCTGGAGCGGGTGGTGATGCGGAGCAATACAGCAGTCGGCGTCGGCGGCGGCATGTTTGTGTGCGGCGCAGGGGTCTCGCTCGTCAACTCGGTCGCGTTTGACGGTAACCTCGCGGCGAGCGGGGGGCCGACGGCGAGACATCAGCGGATGCTTTCCTGTGTGCGCTTGCTGAAGCGCCTCCATCGCCGCCGGGCACCCTCCTCTGGCTCAACGCCACACAGCCTTGGGCCGTTCATACCGCCATGCGAGTCCATGGCCCGGTCGCGGCTCTAGAGTGGCGAAAGCAGCCGGACGGAAGCATGCAGGCTGGTTCGGCAATGGATGGTACGTTTGGAGCTCGCGACGTGTTTGGCCACGCTGTAGCGTACAGCGCCCAAGTCACCGTCCGCTACACGGGGCCGTCAGTGGTGAGCAACCCGGCGCCCAATGCGCGGATCGAGACGTTCAATGTGAGTGTACCCGACACCCTCATCAACGTGGCAGCGAACAGCGTGGCTAGTCCTCCGGCAATCGTGACGCTAACGCTCGAGTTTATCCAGTCCGAGTCTGCACTTGGCGTCCTGCCGCTAACCACAAGTGCAGCTGTGATGCCGTGCGGAGGAGGGTTTGGCTCGTCGATGGTGTCAGCGACCGAGATGACGTGTGTGGCGTGTCTGGAGGGCACGTACTCGGAGGTTACGGCGTATGAGGCGTGCATCCCGGTAGAGCCGTGCCTGGAAGGGTCGTTCGATGCGGCGGGTAGCACGGGCAACAAGCCGCAGTGTATTTGTAAGGCTGGCTTTTTCTTTGTCAAGCGGCCGGCACCGGGATCAAATCTTGTCGAGTGCGCAGAGTGCCCGCCTGGCGGGGTGTGCACCGAGGGCCTCAATCCGCCGTATCCTGCTGTCGGGTGGTATGCAGCGAGCAACGGTACGTTTGTGCGATGCAAGCGGCCCGAGGCGTGCCCGGGCGGAGTGGATGTTGCATGCGCACCGGGTTATACCGGGTACATGTGCAACGCTTGCAAGAAAAAGTACTACTCGGACTCTGCATCAAAGTGCGTGAGGTGCCCTCCGGGATCACCGGGCATCCTCGTCGGCGGGCTGCTCTTTGTCCTCGCAGTGGCCGTTGGCGCGGCCGTGGTCATCGGGCTGGGGCTGATGAAGGCCGGATCTGGGGGTGGCGGCGATGACGAGGGAGGCGAGACCCGAGAGAGCGGAAGTGCCAAGACGATTGGCCAACTGCGCGAGCGTAAGATGCCTGCGTCGGTTTCGATGGCTGTGGTAGCGTTCCAAGTCCTCGGCGTCCTTGCGGACGCCAAGTTCTCGTGGGGATCGCGTTCCAAGTCGATGCTGAGGGCGTTCAACGCGTTCAACGTCGACGTCAACTTATTTGCATCCGAGTGCTCGCTCGACAGCTTCCATGTCAAGTACGCAGTGTCTGTGCTCCTCCCTCTGGTCCTGCTCGCGACCGCCATGGCGGGTCTCGTGGTGGCGCGGGTGAGTTTTCTCGCCGGTGCGCTGGGAGGCGTCTCGCTGGCGACGCTACTCGACGCGGTGCTGTTCAGCCTTGGACCGCTACTGTACATCCCGATGTCGCGGGCCACGTTTGTCATCTTTGACTGCACGCGGCTGCCGAATGGCGACGTGGTGCTGGACGTGGATCCGGGTGTGGCGTGTTTTGATTCGGCGTGGTGGAGCGTGATGTGGGTTGGACTGCTTGGACTGGGATGCTACGTTGTCGGGCTGCCAGCGTACTGCCTGGCGGCGCTGTGGCGTAACAGGTCGACGCTGACGGACCCGGTCACGTTTGGACGTTACGGGGGCCTGTACCGGCTCTTCCGTGCGCCGTACTGGTTTGGCGGAGTGGCCGATCTGTGCAAGCGACTGGCAGTAGTGGTGGCGGCGGTCTTTGTCTCTGACTCTCAGGTCCTGCAGGTTGCGCTCCTCTTTGCAGTCTTGTTGATGTGGCTGGTGGGGGTGGCGCGGTGGCGGCCGTACTACTTTCCGCTCTACAACACCATCGACATGCAGCTGACGCTGGCGCTGCTCTTTGTGCTCCTCCTTGGTCTCGCGTCGTACGCCGAGCGCAACTCGTCGTCGTCGTCGTCGAACGCGCTGTTTGGCACGGTTGTGCTCGCCGTGGTGGCGCTTGTTGCGCTTGCGGCGTGGGGAATTGTGCGCGATGCGCTCGAGATATTCAACGCGCGTCGCGGCCGGTACGGGACGGTGCACGCACGGGCAAGAAAACTCGCGCACGCGCTCGAGCTCGAGCTCGATGACCTGGACATCGGCCCAGTTGAGCGGCAAGCGGTGGTGGTGGCCATGGCCTCGCTCCGCGGCGGAGCAGTTGTCGAAGTTGACTTTGAGGGTGCCGTGGCGGACGACGACGATGGCATTGTCATGGACAGCATGGCGACGCCGTTGAGCGAGTTGGATGAGCTGGCATCACAGTCCGTAGCATCGTTGCCGTAAACCGTCTCGTGATGGAGCGCAACGGGTTGCTGGTGGCGGCCGAGCGGCGGTGTCGACTGGGACCTCCAAACCACGACCTTTTTTAGGGCAGGCGGAGACCTCCCACCACTCGTCCACCACTGCTGCAGGACGAATGAGTGCGGAAGCAAGCACGAGCACGAGCCGTAAGCGAGTGCGGGACGAGGATGGAGATGGTTTTACGCGTGACGACGGCGGGCGGACCGGCAAGGCGGCGCGCGGGCTGGACGGTGAGGCCGTGCCGGGTGTGCCCGGGCTGACGGTAGTGACCGACGCGGTGAGCCCCGAAGACGAGTTGGCGCTGCTGGCACAGGTCGACAACGGCGAGTGGATGACGTCACTCAAGCGACGGGTCCAGCACTACGGCTACCGGTATGACTACCGAAGTCGCAAGGTGGCGCCCGAGTCGTATCTCGGCGAGCTGCCAGAATGGAGCAAGCAAGTGATGGCTCGGCTGGGAGCGGCAGGCGACGGAGAGTTTGACCAGCTCATCGTCAACGAGTATGAGCCCGGGCAGGGCATCTCTGCCCACATCGACTGCAAACCGTGCTTTGCGGGCGTCATCGTCTCGGTCTCGCTCGGCTCGGGTGCGGTGATGCGGTTTGCCAAAGACGACGTTGTGTGCGACGTGTGGCTCCCAGCGCGGTCGGCGGTCGTTCTCACCGGGCCTGCGCGATGGGAGTGGAGCCACAGCATTGCCGGGCGCAAGTCGGACAAGGTTGGCGGGGTGCGCATCAAGCGGACGCGACGGGTCTCGCTCACATTTCGCACTGTTCGGTTGGCCGGCAGTGAGCCAGCTACCGGTGAGTAGGCTTGGCGGGCGCGGCGGCGGCGGCGGCGTCAGCGAGGTCCCTGTCGGCGACAGCGGCGACAGCAACAAAGTGGTTGACCATAGCTGCCAGCGGCGGAAGCCAGCGGTTGCGGAGACCCTCGACGGCAATAAAGACGCCGGCCTTGCGGGCGATGGCGTAGTCGGGGGTGACGGTCAGCTCGATCTTGCGCATAAAGTTTGCGGTGTGATCGATGACGACGACGACGAGGGTGTAGACCTGGGCGCGACCACAGAGCTCGACCTTTTCGACAACGTATCCCAGCGGTGGGTGGTAGGAGGTGTCGTTGGGGGCAGCCCATGGCGGAGGTGCGCCAGCCGGCTCGCCGGGTAGCGGCTTGCCTGCGGCGTAGTGGACCGAACGCCAGCCCTCCTCGAGCGCCTCGGCATACATCGAGTCTGCGATGGGAAAGACACGCTCGCGGACAATGAGGTTGTAGTCGAGCAAGCCATCGAGGCCGGCGACGGCGTCCAGCCCCGAGCCGGCACCGACCGGTGCGTACTGCAGGAGCTGCGAGACTCGCGACGAAAAGGCAGAAGAGTAGCGAGTGCCGTCCGAGGCAACAAAGGCCACGCCGTTGACCTTGAACGCCACGCCCAGCCGCGAAACAACTTGCGGCGGAGCAAGCAGCCGTCCACGCCCGTCGAGCTCGCCGGCCTCGCGGCGGTAGCCGAGCGCGGTCTCGAGCGCAAGCGACTCGACCCAGGAGGCGTCATCGGTATCAGCGTCGTCCGACTCGGGCTCGCGTTCGGGCTCGGCAGCATCGGTGTCGGCGGCACGGGCCTTGCGCATGCGAGCCAGCTCTGAGTCGATGAACGGCGCCAGCGGCTCGACGCGGTGGGCCAGCGAAGCAAAGAGGTACGCGCCGAGGCTGGTGAGGGTGACGGCGCCGGCAGCCAGGCCCCATGAGGAGCGGGAGGACGGCAGCGGGAGCGAGCGGAGGCCGAGCCACGACTTTGTGCCTGTGGAG